GGTCGCTGGCCTCGCTGGCCTGCTGCTGCCGGGGACCTTGCGGCGCCTGGCGGGGACCGCCGGCCGCCCCGAGCGATTATTCGCCCTGCCAGCAGGACCAGCAGGACGCTATGGAATGCCTGCCGTGCAACGACCCACGAAAAATGTTGCCCCGTGCGAAAGAGAACAAACCGAAAAGCGAAAGGGATCCGCCATTGTAGCAGGCCGCGCGGGTCATCCGCATTGTGCCGCAGATGTAATTGTTCCCGATGACGGCGGAGGTGCGCTAACGAAGACAAATCGGTGTGTGTGTGTGTGACGCAGCGGCCCGGCCACCACTTTCCCACGCTCCACCTCCCGATATAATGCGGAATAAATAAGAGCGAAAAAGTCCGCAGCGCCACCGCAGGACCGCAGGCGAAACTCCGCCGGGGAGCGCGCAGCAAGTTGCGGGCTCGCGAGGCGTCAGCTAATTCAACCAGTCCGACGAGAACGGCGCGCCTTTCTTCCCCCCGACTTTGCCCGGGTTCAAATCAGTTCACCGCCGCCCGTATTTTGAATAATGTGCTGTTGAACTCGGCGCCACGCCGCGCCCCCTCACCATTACGCAATTTCCACGCGTTCGACTGATACAGGTTTATTGGCCGCCACCCTTCCCCTCATCCACCCTAACACTTCTCAGGTGACTCAGACGGGGCGTCCCTGCGATCCAGAGGAGGGGCCCTTGTAAGCATCTTGCGAAAGGAGAAACATGAAACCTACAATTCATTTCGATTGTAACGATGAAAGAGGGCAATGCCTTTGGATATTTTTGGTTTAGTTTCATGATTTAATAAAAGCGTTGAGACAAGTTTTTAAATTTTCATTTCCCTGTGTTTTGACGCTAAGCATTGACCAAGAAACAGCAGTTAGGAAAACTGTCCTCTCCAGACAAACTCCGAAACGACGCCACCTCCAGCAGCCTCCAGCGCCGTGACAGTCTGCCATCAGAAGCGGCGCCAATCTGAGAATGCTCATCTTGCTGTTTATATTCGCAGCGGCACAACGGCAGTGCGAAGCGGGCACAAAGAGTGCCTCACAGCGCTGCAGCCAGCCAGGCAGACAGACAGGCAGGCAGGCCCGCGTGCAAATAATGCCAACAGCAGCTAACAGCCGGAGCGAGCATTCCGAAAGCGAACTCCGCGCACTCGAAAGTTGGTTATGATGAGAGCCGGGGTAGCGGAACGTCAAGCGTACCCTGCACACGGATCACTCAATCGCACTCGCACACACACACACACACACACACGCACACAGCGGCAAACTCCAACTTCCCGCCCCAGCATCGCGGGGAAGCCCTACGGGGAAATCAAATTCCGCGCCGCGCCTGTCAAAGCCGCGAGCGACAAGCGGTCGGGGAAGAAGAGGGAAGGGCGGCGGATTACAAATGCAGAATGACAAATCCATGCAGAAGGCGCCAAACGCAGCCGGCTTGATCAGGCCTGATCGGGCCTGCTGGGACTCCTCCACCGCCATTTCAAGGTCCATTAAAGGAGGCCCGGATTTGCCTGTCAAATTCGGTCCGTTCTGCCCGAAGAGGACGCCGCACTTTCCTGGATCGAGTGGCCAGGGCGCCCGTCACCGCCCGGGTAGGCAACGCGACGGCACCCACGAGCAGCGGGACTGCCTACCCGGCATTACCATTACCATTGCGGGCTAGACCAGGCTGCTCGCCGTGCAGGCTTCGCCGCGGGGCACGCCCTGCTTCGCCGCTATCATGAGATAATCATTAGCGCAGCCATGGATCCAGCACCGTCTCGAGCACCGTCTCGGCGGCGCGGCTTGGCGGTCGTTGCCCTCTCTTGCGCCGATCCAGCCGATCCGGCCCGCGGCCTCTGACCCCCGCGGGGCCCGCGGGCGTCGGGCACGTCCGCGGTGATCAAGAAGTCATACTTCAATGCCGCAGCACGCATCACCTTCCGGCTACATCCTCGCCAGTCGCGGCACGCTTGGTCCGAGCGGAACCGACAGGAAATCAATTCTTTTGGGGATGAGAAATTTCGGATTCAGACGCATCATTTTTTTCATCCGCTAGAGTATTTCTGCGATGCTGTGTGCGTCTGCTCGTCACTGGCGCGGAGGTAATCGGGCTGCACGCTCCCCAGGATGCAAGCCTAATGTTTCGCCAGTAAAGGATTACTCTCCCCCTTTTGCCCCTGCCATGCCGAGCCAAGCGCACACACGGATCCGAAGCCAGAATCCATTACTTCGCCAGACTGCCTCGCGCTGCCTCGCCTGTCCCGACCGCACCTCAGTGTGCCCAGGGAGGGAAAGGAAAAGAGAAAAGGAAAAACAATACAAGACAGGAGACGACATTGTTCTTCGCCCAGCTGTCTCCGAAAACCTTACCAATTTTTTATTCCTTCTTCCTCCAGCCTGCCCTTTAATCTTTCTTCCTCCCCATCTTTATGTCATCTTTGTCTTCGCGTATCCCGCCCCCTATTTACTCTTGGCCTGTGTTGCTCCATTGGCCCCCCTATACATTTTCCGTTTCATTGATTATGATTCGGACCGAAGGGAACCGAGCCGAGTGGCGCCGAAAACCTTCAAGAAAGATACATGATACGTTTGCCGCCGACAAAAAAAGAAGACAGAAACGAAAACTACACGATCGACTGGCTTGGTAATGTGCGATTTGTTGTCATTTATTTTTGGTTTCGCGTTGTTTTTGCAACGGGCACCCACGCTCGCTCACACACTCCGCCTCGCATTAGGTAGATGATGCGTGCGTAATGCGTCAGGTCTGGGGCGGGCTGGGCCGGGCTGGGGGTGGATAGCCTGCCCTCGTCATTAGTACGCGGGGGCGGGAAAAGGGGGAGGGGAGAGGGGCTTAGTGCGGGCGGCGCGCTTCCCTGACCACGGCCCGGCAAGACACCCCCTGGTGGGACCGCTGCGGACCGCTGGCTCGGCTACAGTGTAGCTACACACAGCCTCACACACTGACCAGGTTCAACAGAGATATGCAAAGTGCCGCACCGCTTCCCGCCGCGCCCGTCAATGCGCGTTCGTTTGTGCGCCATTACAGCGTCTGCTGCTGACCATCCTCACAGACTTGATGATGTCGCTGGTCGCGCTCCGCCGTGCACGCCGCCTTTCTCTTTGTGTTTCGGCTGAAACGCCCCCACCGAAACCGCGGCATAATCAAACTGGCGAGACTTGGCGGCGAAACTCGACTGGAAGCCACAGCGCGGACTAATCCAGGGCAGCCCACGTCACGGTGTTCCCCGCGCCGCGACCGAAGCCCGGCCGAGCGCACCGGCTCCTTTTACGCACGCGGTGGCGCCCGTGACCAACATTTAGCGCGCGGGGTGGGCGATGGGCGCCAGGTGTTTCGGGACGGGCAAAAACGGGCGGCCCGGCCGATGGTGCACACCGCTGGCGATTAAGGCACCGCGAGGCCGCGGAGGTGGGCGACGCAGGTGGTCGTGCAGGCCGACGAGATGAAGGCGCAGATGAAAGCCTTTATGCACGCCTCCACCAACGTCGCCGTGCTGAAGGCTTGCCTGTGGGCGGCGCACCGCGGCGCCCCAGACGAATGGCAACAGCCTTTGAGGTGGCCGTGGGTGCGAGCAAGTGGTAAGAACCGGCAGAAAGGGCGCGTGACAGTCATCGTCCTGAAGAGCGTTTTCCGAGTAGTTCTCCAAGGCCAGAAATCAGATCGAAGCCACATTTGTTTCATTTTTTGCTGTTCACGTCTTGGTACAGAAAGGTTGTCCTCCGCCAACTGTTGTTCCTTTTCGAGGCGCGCCGCGCCTGTTGACGCGAGGCGCGCTCTGCAAACATCAAAGCCAAACAGGCAGCGTGTGCAGCACGGCAGTGTGTACCCCGGAACCAACTGCAGCAGCGAGCTGATTAGAGCCTGGCACAGCCCCGCACAGCGCGCTTCCGAGAAAAGCAAACGCCCTGATGCCTTTGGGCGCGCCTCGCGCCGCGACGCGCGTGCAGTGACCTTCCTCTGGACACGCGCCGCCTTTCGCCTCGCCGCCACCCTGCTCGTTAATGAACCTTTCTCGCTTCACTGGCCGTGGCCCATGCCCGTCCTGACCACCGCAACACACTCGCGACCCCTCACCCCTGCGGTCTTGCGACACGCGTGGAGCCCATAATCTGCGAGCGCACACACGGCCTCGTGGTCGTTGACTGTGAACGGGCAGCGGCGAGGAAGGAAGGCGGCACGTAACGCCGGCAAACACACTGGCATAACACATTCAATCGTCCATTCGCACCGAGGGGCCGAGGGGCCGAGGGGCGCCAAGGGGTTGTTGGCCGGCCGGACAGCGTCACTGTGCGCGCTGTGCGCGCTGTGTGCGCAGCGGGGCGGCGCCAGGCTGGACCAGTGTCGCGGATTGCGGGGGCATTGCCGGGGCGAGAGGGATCATGCGGGCGATGGCGCGACAAGCAAACCATGTCGAAATGACTCATCTTTCGCGAGCCCTGTCCAAACTAGTGTAAGTGCCTGCACGAGGAAGACTCAGTTAGGGGGGAAAACATCCAGATGCTAGTGTAAGTACTTTCGGCAGAGGGAATAATCAGTATTTATAAACTGATGCGGGTGCGCTCATCGGCTGCTAAATATCAAACTTTTCCGACATAAAACATCAACAATCCCCGATAAAACGGGAATTACTTGGCGGTGTGCTCCTTGAACGTGGCCCCGCCCGGGCGTGCGTGCCTCGAAGGAGGCCAGGCCGGCGATGAGCGCTTGTATACGGAAGTGATTGCTCGTTAATGGGGCGAGAGAGCCTCATCAAGGGGGCCACGTGGCAGGTGAGTGGGCCACTACGCCCGGCCACGCCGCGCCACGGCTCAGGAGCTTCTATTCCTGAACCGCAGCATCTCGAGGCTGCGGTTTACCCACTCCAGTCCAACTTCGAGAAAGCAGCCTGGCAACAAGTGCTGCATTTCCTTTCTTCTGTTTCTGCACGTCTGCACGGCAAGAACGCGAACTTTGGCTCGGAGGTTTTGCATTGTTTATGACTCACCTGAGTGACGGCGTCCTGCGCACCCCAGTCGTCCTGCAGGTCCTCGGCGGCCCAGGAGGAGAGCAGCGGCCAGGTGCCGAGCCCGTGGGCCAGCCCTTGGCCGAGCACCGTCCCCTCGCCGGACGACCGGTTCATGACAGGCGGGCTCACATCATGGCGGGACTGAAGGGCCCCAGGGGCTCCGACGGCCCCGACGGGGCGGCCCCTTGCCCACCGTCATCGGACAGCACGGCAACACCCTGCAAGGCCAATCCGGGCAACCCGTCAAAATACGCTTTACATAAACTTTACTCGTGGGTTGATACCGTCGTATTTTTAGTCTCACCGAACTAATTTTAACAGGCGCAATAACTTTTCAGTTTGAAATAACTACGTCTGTCATACAATTTTTTTCTCGAATTTTAAGGAAATGCTTTGTACAACAAGGTCTTTTTTCGTTAAACACAACATTCTATCACTTGAGGAGGCAACCCTATACCTTTTGGTTTTTAAATTGATTATAAGGCAGAAACTCTGTAGAAAGGAACGAGAGTTGCGCGCAGTGCATACATTACACGGTTGCATTTTGTACGAGAAATCGTTACGCAACGTACAATGCAGCTAGGAAAGGTAAAGTAATATTTATAAGCCTGATACCGTTTTATTTCGGGCAACGGGCTCCTGTGAGTAACAGCAGCGGTACGTCACGGTACGGCAAAAGTACGCGCATCGACCTGAATGGGGATTCCCGCTCATGAAAACGTGACGGCCGTGCCGACGGTCACGAAACACGCGGGGCAGGCCGCTTGCTCACCGCAAAGAGGAATAATGAAACCTGATTCATGCATCATGCAGTCGGCGAGGCGCGGTGCGTCACCCTTTCTTTTTTTAAAACAGCCTTCTGCACCTACGGCCGAGGCTTATTTGCGTATTGGCGGCACTTAGCGTGCCATGTGCAAACACAGCCCCCTCCTTCCCCCTTCCAGCCCAATGGCTGGTAACACAGGTTTTAACAATGCATCGTGCGCGCGTCACGAGCAAAGACAAACACGCAGCTACAGTCCAGTACACGACAACCTCATGAAAACAAATGTTTTTCAGCAAGGCAAAAAAATAAATAATTAAACGTTATGTATGCTCTTTAAAACGCATTCCAAATAAATAAAGCAAACCCTACATACTAAATTACAATGAAACAAAACCAGCCCAAATGGCTCACCTTTGACGCTTTGTTTACATTCACGATCGGACGAGGAAATGTCGAGATTCCGCGACAACAGTCGAGCTCTCCCAGATGCAGGCTCCTTCACTGCGCTGATGTCAATCTTGAGGTGTCAGCAGGCAGAACAGACACTGGTGCGGTGCAGCAGAAGGTTGCACTCGTGTTGGAGCTCGCGGCGCGGGTCGTGCTAGGCGCGGGGGTGCTTGGCCGAGCGTCCTCTGGTCGTGCGTCCTCGGGGGGTGCCGGTGGCGGACTGGCTCCTCGGCGCACCGCGGCTCCGCCATTCAACCCCAGCGCGGCCCGGGGCGGTCGAGTGGGGGCTGGGGCAGACGCTGTTGCAGGCCGGGGTGGGGGCAGCGCTGGCTGCGCGGGGGATGTGCGGCCGCTCTCCGTATTGCACGCCACTGACAGCTTCTTCCGGTCTCCATATTCCCTCCCGCGCAAATAAGTCGCAGGAGGGAAGTCAGGCAAACGCAATGAATGACATTTCAATAGCGTCACTGAGCAACAAACTGCGCAACTTGGCTCAGCTTCACGCGATGCTACTTTGCTCTGCCCACTTAATTTTAGTAAGCAATTTTTGCACGAGGCATGGCACAAATTTGTGTGTGAAATGTTTGTAAAACTTTAAGGAACTTTGCGCAAAATTGTGCAACTTTCCAAACGAATTTGAGTAAAATTTTACAAGCGAGTTAAGTAACGTACAACATCGGACAGCTGCATTTACTAATATAATTGGTCAGGCTGAGGACCTGGATGTGCAACACCCAACGACAACAAAGTGTCGGTTCGGAAGACGCGCTGTGAGGGAGACGGGGATGGAGGCGGGTGCCGCTGGAGTAAACCACCCGTCCCCCTCCCCCTCATCCTGCATAAAAAGTAAAGCCGACGCGGCTGTTACACAATGCGCAAGCCTTCGCCGAAGTTAATAAGCCAGGCGGCACGTAAACAAGGACCGCGAGCAAACTGCGCAAAAGGCGGGCCGGGGCGCGCTGCAGGGCAGCTGGCGACGTAAGGCCCCTTAAACAAGCGTCGCGTCTCACGTTGCTGCACTGGCCTTTGCCTCCACGTGGACGTAGCCTCCGGGCTCATTATGCGGGCCGATAGTCGCCTCCTACTAGCAGGCCATTACGGTCTTGCCGTCAGCGCGCTGCAGCGGCGCCCCTGCGCAGACCGCCTCGAGAGGGAGAAACGAGGCGTCGGACGCCGCCTTGCTTATTAAAGCGGCCCGGCTTCCCACGAAAACAAGCAGTCCTTTTGTTTCTTTCTCATCGGCTCGCCTTCCACCCATTGCCCGATGCCGCTTCCAGGAAGTAGGCTGGCTACAGAAAGCAGCCCGGGTGGCTTACTGCGCGTCTGAGTTGAGAGGGGCCATGTTCATTACTCCGTATTTGAGGGCTTTGACTCAACGTAACGGACGCAGTGCTTGTTGATCGCACTGCGCACCGTGGTGTGACCTCCTTACGTAATGGCACCTTATACTGCAGCCTCGGAGAGTTAATCATAAAAGTTACCTCGATAAGCTAGCCAAAGAGTTTCGGACTGCCTCGTTGAAACTTTGTCCTAATCCCCTCCCCCTTCGGCTGGATCGCAGCCGAGAGGCTGTCCTTGATACTGTCTGCGTGCACGGGACCCACTGGCCTAAAAAGAGAGTGCACCGCAACAAGGACATAACCGAACGCCTGCGTGCCACTCCACTGTCCTTAGCGACGCGGCTTGGGCGCGCTTCAGAACTATCCGATTCGATGCTGAAGTTGACTGGAAAGGTCAGAGTCTCAGCCTGTTTCCGGCATTCCAGGCCCGCATACAAACTCCGCCATCCCTGAGCAGCGCTTCCCCGCCGCCACTTGCCCCCATTCGTCTGGGTTTGGTCCGGCCGACTAGCCCCAGACCAACTGAGTGGTCCGCGGGGCGGCACGGCGACCTAGACCCAGCTCCATTTCAGCCGCCCCCTTTCTCCTGATTTCCCAGCGACCGCAGCGAGGCCTTCGGCAAATAGGACCATCTGCGACCTAAGCGTGTTGTGCTAGGCCGTGCCTCAGCCGGCGGGCCACACATCGGGCCGGGATGTGGCGCCCGCCACTTCCTTATTGGGTTGCCGCAGGTCGAGAAAGGGGAGGCGGGCGGGACGGGGGTGGAACAATCATAAGACGCTGGGGCCAACAAAGTGGAGAAAACGAAAGCACGCCAGTGCAGGCGGCACTCACATGCGGCGTTGTTTCAGCCGCGCGTTTCCTTTCCCGGAACAAGAGATCAAACAAGCTTTTCTTCTCGATTTACCGCCTCCACCCACACTCTATTTCTTGCCATGTTTTATTTCAGGGGGCGTTTGTTCATATTTGTGCATAGCTGTCACCACTGAGATGTCATGAAAAGGCCGGGTTTTTTATTTAGACGCTTGCTATCATTTTATAAATCTTTCTGTTTTCTTCAAAGGACGCGTTTTTATGCTTGACAAAGTCAATCCGAGTTCCAGCACCTCGGTCACGACGCCGACGGCCTTCGCCCACTGCCTGCGTCTGTGTGCGTCAGCGTGGGCAAGTAGTGTGCGTGCGCACGCATGTGCGTGACCCCCGACCTCACTCACGCCCCAGACGCGCAAACAGAAAATATGGCGGCGCACGGCGTGTGACACGGTTTGGTCGCGGAAATAGGCCGAGGGCCACAACCTAAATCTGCGAGGGAGGGAGGGGCCGCCGGCTATTGTGGCAGGCCCCTTTTGTAAAACTCGACGATGTGGACTTCCCCCTACGGGCCTCTGGGCTTTTGTCTCCCCCCTTCCTCATGGCTCTTGTTTGTTGTGCTGATCGTTTGATTGTTGTCCCTCGCGCCTCGCTTGGTTGCCACCGCTGCCAAACACCCCGACATTTTTCCTACGGAAATCTCTTTTTACTCGGCGCAACAAAGTGGAACCCCACTTTTGCCGGGGCTTATGTCGATACCCGATGCCCCCTGGGGTGTCCGCTTCCCTTCGAAGCGACGCGGAAGGAACAAAAAATAAAGTGGAACTTGACAAATAAAAACAGCGGCAGGGCATGCCGAGGGGAGCTTGACGGGCGCTGCCTGGTCCGAACAGCCAGCCTGTTTTTGGTCTGGAAAGTGACATGTCGGCCACCGCCCCTCCTCCTTTGACCTGCCTCACTGTGGAGCCGAGAAAGCCCCCCAGCCGCAGCCTGAGACGGGATCAGCGCCAAGACGCCCCCACAGGGAGGAGACAGATTGAATGGGGAGGAGGGCGCTTGAAAAAACCCTGGCTTATCTCTGTCCAGCGGCACACACGGCAGTCCCAGACAGGCGTTCCCTCTTCTTCGGTCGCTTTAACACGGGCTGCCTATTGTGTTGCGCGGGAAGGTGTTTCATTATTTACGTGCGATACATATTGTACAGGAAAGTCTTCCAGAAAACAAAGATAAAAGACGTGTATTTTTCCTGTCGGGCGTTGTTGTCAAGAAAGCGCATGGAACTCGATGTGCTTGAGCAGGCTGGGGGGCATGTTGTCCAGTGCTGTCCCACTTCCCAGGCCCTTCGCTCCCCCGTCTGGCAGGACGAAGCCTGTTGGACGCTAATGTGTTTGCGTGGTTGGGACTGGTGGGTGGCTGCTTGGGCTGCTCCAGGCATGGGACTTAGCCATTGACCCCATTCGGCACAGAAGACGCTCCGGGTGGCAACGCCTCGCCCCGCCCTCCCCTACCCCGCCCCGCCAGGCGGCAAATGACTCTCCACTATGCCTATCAGACCCACCCGGCTTCATTTCCATGGAATGCAGATAGCGCGGATTTTGGAAGGGAAGAACGCGCTGCTAATAAACGCGACCCCACCCTGATACGGCGCGGGGGGTGGCGGCATACACGTCCAAGTGCTGAACGCCGCATTGAATGGGCTACAAAATTAGAGCCCCGGAAACAGCGCGTCCAATCAGGTGAAAGGTCGCCAGTAACTGGGCCTCGGCGAAGTGGGGCGCTGGGTGCGACGCGGGGCGGGGTGCGAAGCGTGGCGCGACGAGCAGCCAGACAGCCTGGCGTGACTTGCAGCAGTTTGCAGCCAAGGAGGACGGCGCGGCGCCAAATTCAAACCGCTTCCGCGACTGCTAATAAGCTGCGGCTGCCAGCCCGGCTGGGAGTCCCCGCGCGGCCTTGGCCCAAATCAGGCTCTCCTAACCTATAAATTGGTCATGGGCCGGCGATGCCCAGGCCATACCCATCCTCCCCCGGGCCGGCTGGCCCAGCCTGTCGTGGGCCGGATCTTTACGCTCGCTCTGATTAGACAAGCGGCCCTCCTGACAGCGGCTGGGCCGTGACGAGTCGGGCAGCCTCGCCACCAATTTGGCCGGCACGGATGACGCGACGCTCACGGGGCTTTTCCCTTCAACGCCACCGTCCCGTTAATTAAATGCAATTTTATGAGCGGCCGATCAATATCAGTTTTGGCTAAAGAGGGAATCTGCCTGAAAGCCCCCGGAGGCTGCCAAGGCAGTCTTGACCGGTGAGGTCGCGCAGCCTTCCCTGGATGAATGGCTGCCCTTCTCCGGCTGCCAGTTTCGTTCTGACGTGAAGTAACGTCATCAGCGCCTCCCGAGGTCGACCTTTACCTGCTCGGGGGAGGAGGGAAGAACCGCCGGGGCCGCCCCAGCTTGTCTTCCCAGAAACAGACTCTTAATGCGGTCTCCGGGAATCCACAGGCACGTCAGGAGAACTTTTTGAGGTGAGGGGGAGTTCCTGGTGGTTGCAATAGCCGTACCCTCGCTAAAAGCACCTTCATTCATGGCCGTTTAAAAAGACCATTTTAAAAATTATGATGAACGCATAAATTTTAACGGGCAGATTAAAATCGTTGTCTTTTTCAGAGCCGGAATACAGCAGCTCAGTGCAAAGTACGTCATTTTGTTCACAACAATGGGTTTAACTTTCGCTTCGCCGAGCAGGCCGTGCGTGCGCGCGGAGCGATGGAGTCTGGGAAGTCCGCGACCATCTGGGGCATTTCAGGGGAAAGAGGAGAAAACACATCCATCATCCGGGACGCCGCAGCGTGCTGGCCACAGATTTCACCCAACCGGGTTTCTAGAGCGCGTGCGCACACAGCACCGGGAAGCATTACCCTGCCTGCCAGTGTTCTCAGGCTGCAGCTTGCGACACACCTGCCAAGTCAGGCTGGATAAAGTGGGGAAACGTAGAGCGAAGTGCGCGAGTGACGGTCAGCGACCCTTCACTGTGGAGGCGAAAGGCATTGACTCGTGATCGCAC